AGGGGGAAAGTGAAATAATAAATATTTAATCCAAAAGAAGGTAAAAAGGAGAGAAAAAGAAACAAAATAGGTGGGTCAGACAGAAAAAAATTGTAAAGTGGTAAATATAAAGCCAAATATGAGTAATTATATTAAATGAGCAGAAACTGAATTAAAATATTAAAAGTATCAGATTAGATTAACAACAAAACCCAAATACATGCTTTTTACAAGCAATACAACTTAAATATAAGGGTACAGAAAAGTTAAAAATATAATATTGGAAAAGACAAACTATGCAAACACTAACCAAAGAAACCAGTTGTTGCTGTAGTATGGGATAAATTAGACTTCAAGGTCAGAAGTATTAATTGAGTTGAAAAAAGGCATTCCTAATGATAAAAAGGCTCTATCTGGAAAGCACAACATTTCTAAATTTGTATGCATTCAATCCCATAGCTTTAAGATACATAAAGTAAAAACTGAGGAGAAAGACAAATCAAGAATCATTGTGGGAGACTATTAACATGCTTCAACAACTGACAGACAAGTAAACAAAAAAATTAAGTATAAAAAAGACTTACACAATGAAAATTAACAAACTTGACCTAGGTGACATGTATAAATACTGCAACCAATTATTTTCAAGTCCACACTGAACATTTATCAAAACTGTACACATTCTGGGTCATAAAGCAAGGCTCAACAAATTTCAAAGGACTGAAATCAGAGTATGTTCTATGATCACAGTGAAATTAAGCTAGAAAATCGTAACAAAATAATTAGAAAATGTCCAAATGTTTTGAAATTTAGCAATATACTTCTAAGAAGTATAACCACAAAGTAGAAAAAATGGGTCAAAGACGAAGTCACAAAGGAAATTAGTTTTATGAACTGAATAATGAAAATGACATAGCAAAATTGTGGGATGTAGGTAAACAAATGATGCTTAGATGGAAACTTAAGTCTTAAATGTTATCATAAAAGGAAGGCTGAAAGTCAATGATCTAAATATCTCAAGAAATTACAGAAAGAATGTCAGTCATCATGTGAATAAAATCAAGTGTCTTTCTCATTCTTGATCCCAGGGGGAAAGCTTTTAATATTTCACCATTAAATATAATGTTTGCTTTGGGTTTTTACTTTTTGTTTTGGTTCTAGGTACTCTATCAAATTTAAAAAGTTCTTTTTCATTTCTAGTTTGTCGTGAGGTATTTTTTGTTTTAAATCATGAATGAGTGTTTAATTTTCATGATTTTTTCCCCCCTCTTTTTTCATCTGTTAATAAGGTGAATTATGCCAGTTGATTCCCCCCACCAAAACGTTCGACTACTCTTGCACTAAGGAAATAAACCAAACTTGATTGTGATGTACTGAGGGTGCCAAAAAAAATGTACACATTTTAAGAAAGGAAAAAAACTATTAAAATTGTAATACTCAATATATACCGATAACAAAAGATGAATATAAGTCAGGTGTATACATTTTTTTGGCACCCCTGGTATTATCCTTCTTTTACATTGCTTGATTCGATTTGTGTGAACTCATTTGTGAGAGAGATTAGATAGTAATTTTCTTTTCTTATAATTGCATTGCTGGTTTTTAATATAAATTGGCAAGTATATTCTCTTTGTCTTCTGATATAACAGGTGTATTTCTTTCTTAAATATTTGGAAGAATTCCTCTGTGTAGCCATTTGGGCCTGCGGGTTTGTGACATTTTTCTATACTAATTAAAATTTTCTATTTTTTCTCTTTTAATAACCTGTGGTTTTTCTTAGGAATTTGTTCATTTTATCCACATTTCTAATTTTATTAAGTTGGTCCTAGTATTGTCTTAATTTCTATTCAATATCTGTAAGATCTGTCGTTTTTTGTTTAAATTTAAAATTTTCTGTTTTTCTCAGTAGTCTTTCTAGCACTCTAACCTCTTTTTCTGGTCTTTTCAAAGTACCAACTTCTGGTTGATTTTTCCCTTTCATACATTTACTTTTATTAATTTCTGCTCTTTATTATTTCCCCTTTTCTACTTTGTTTAGACAAAAAACCTAAGTTGTTACAATGACCTTCGAGGTCTGGCACTGCCAACTCCCACCTTCACCCCTACCCCTAAACTCAGTGGCCTCACTGACCATTCTCCCCACTCACTCTGCAACACTAACCCACTAACCTGGTCTTGGGGTCTTTCTTCTGAAACGCCAAGTGCACACTCATGTCAGAACTTTTGTACTTCCTGTTCCCTCTGCCCAAGAGGATCTTCAGTTAGTCACATCACTTACTCTCTCACTCCATTCAGGTCTCTGTTCAAACCATCTCTCTGAGGGGACTTTTCTGATAACCTTGTATAAAATATGACCCTTCCACTGTTACTCTCTACCCGCTTAACCTGCTTTTCTACTTCATAGCAATCATCAACACTTGATTTTTAATAAATAGTATGCACTTATTTGTGTATCTGTCCCTAATTAGACTATAAAATCCATGGAAACAGGGACTTCTGTCTGTTTTGTTTACGCCTGTATTTATCTCCAGAGCCCCAAATAGTGCCTAGTTAGTAAGGGTGCTATATTGAATAAGTGAATATATACACTATTTTTCTAGTGTTTCTAAAGGAGTCAGGCAAGAAACAAAGACATTGAAATATTAGAAAAAAAATTATTCGAAGATTACTAGAAATTCCAAGGAATGAACACAAAATATTAGAAGAAATGTTAAGAAAAGGACCATACAGGTACAAGATAGATATATCAAAATGAGCAGTTTTCCTACGTAAGTAGCTATAGCCAGAATTAAATTGTGAATAATTTAGAACATCGAAAATATAAAACCAGATAAATTTAATTTAAAAATGTGTAAGACCCCATAACAGAAGAACTATGAAGCTTTTACTAAGAGCATAAAATAGCATTGAATAAATGAGGACAAATTATGTTCCTAGATAAGGGTATTCAATATTGCAAAGATACCAGTTCTTCCCAAATTATCTATAAATACAGTACATTTTCAGTGAAAATCCTAGTGTGGTTTTTTTTGGAAACTGACAAACTGATTTTATTGGGTTGTTGGAAAAGCCATGACACATTTTTGCAACGAAAAACATAGAAAAAATATGTCATGAGTTTTCCGACAAGCCAATAGTTCATGTTTTAAAAAAAGGCCTAAAAATAATTAAGAATTTTTTGGAAAAGTATAACGAAAGATTTAGCTCTGTAATATATCAACATGGAATATTAAACTAAAATTATTAAAACTAGGTACTGGCATGGAAATGGACAAAAAGATGAATGGAGGAGAGAAACACAGATTAGAATATTGAATACACTTGGGATTGTCTCAGAGGCTTCTCAAACTTATTCCTGATTAAGCTGAAAGCATTATTTTCCTTCTTCACAAATCCGACTCATTCTCCAAAACTCCCTGTTAGAATGGCATAGCATTCATTCACTTGGATACAAGTCAGAATCCTGGGAATCACCTTTATACTTTTCCCTCAAACCCAAGAGCCAATCTTCACCAAACCCAATATCCCTCAAAGCCAACATCTGGCTGGTTCTATAGATTTTACTGCCTAAATATCTCTCACAACTCTCGTATTCACCGCCACAACCCCAGTTCAAGTTACCATCAGTTCTTGTTTGGATCACCGCATTAGCTTCTAATTAGGTTCCCCACATTCACTTTTGCCCTCCACCAAATTGTTCTCCAAACTTATAAACAGCATGATCTTTTAAAAATCACAAATGTGATTGTGTAAGTACCACTTAAAATTCTTCAATGCCATCTCATGCTCCCAAAACAAAAATCAAAATCCTTAACTAGTCTATAATAATATTTCATTAATGGGAAAATAGACTTCAGACAGCTTTAACTGTACTAGAATATATCCTTGAACATAAAAGTAACCTGGGAAAACACACACACACACACACACACACACCCATAGAAAATATACCTTGTTAGTAAAATAACTGTAGAATACTCTTAAGTCTATAGTTTGGCCCATGCCTGCGTTTCTGGTCTCATTTCACCACATATTCAAGGATCCTCAACTGTACTAGCCTTTTCTGGGCACCCTGTATAGGAACTTTTCTCCTATAGGACTTTCTTAAGTGCTGGTCCATCTGCATGGACTTCCCTTCACAAACCCAAATAAAGGTCCTCAGCGAATCCCTCTCTGAATTTTGGGAAAAGGTCAGATCTCTCTATTATTTTCTCTCAAAACAACCAAATTCTTCAGTTCTCATTCTAATTTTAATTAACCATTTGTGTGAGTCTTTCCCACTATTTTAAGTTCCATGAGGGCAAGCACCACATCTGTTTTTGTTCACCAATGCATTCCTAAAGCCTAGAACTGTACCCAGTAAATAACAGGTGCTCAATAAATTTTTGTTAAACAAATTAAATGAATTTTAATTACTCAACAGTACTAAAACAGTGATGCCTCTGGAGCAACTAGAGAAACTTAGTACAAGACCACCTAACCCTCATGATTCAGTTGCCTTTGCTACCCCTTTCCTTGTTAGGGGGAAGGGAACTTCTCAAAATATGAGATTATATATCATATGCTATCTGTTTCTAATGGATAAATTTGTTAAACAGATCAGCTTAATTTTAACTCATCAGTTCAAAACCTCGGGAAAGTACTGTGAGAAAGTACACATTAAGGTAAATGAATTTTCCCTTCCAGATTACATATTCGAGGATATGTTCTAGTGTGGTTAAAGGTGTCTGATCACCCATTAATAAACTATTATTCTATTCCGGAATATACAGATCTTAGTTCTCTATTATTTTAAGGCTTTACTTCTGTTAATGGAAAACAAAAAAGCTCTTCTTAGTCTTTCAGTACTTACAAGTGAAGGAACTGTGAATATCTGAACCGAGAGGTCTGCGACTGAAAACTCTCTGTCGTGGTCATCTGTCACATAATCACTCTGCAAACGCTCATAGTTCTATTAAGAAGGCAAAAAAAGGCAAGGAGTGCCAGCTATCAGTTACAAAGAAAATGCAAGCACTACTCACCAGAGTAGGTGCGGTGAAGAACTGGACAGACAGAGCAGTCACGGACACTGCTCGCTCGTGATCATCCTCCATAAAATCTCTCTGCAACTGCTGGTAATTCTAAACAACAAGGGGGAGATTCACCTCTAATCCACATTGACCAAATGTTTAAGGATGATAATGAAAAGTCAGGGTTGGAGGAGTCAATAAGGTAACACTATACGAATGACAACTGGAAGGATTTCTACCAATTAAATTCTGTATAAATATTGATTCCCAACACAATCTTCTCAAATGGCAATTTATGAAGTGAAACAGGAGTAACAGATACTAAACTCCTGGGATGTCATCGTACATTGGATGAGCTAAACCACAGAACTTTACACGGTCTCTGATGGCACCAGACTTGTATTACTTCTGGGTGCATATCAGGATCGCTGATGGCTCTTTCAAAGTACACGTGCTTGGGCCCCATTTTTGGTGAATCTGCTTCAGAAGGTTTGAAAGAGGTCCCGAAATGATTCTTACACACTATCTTGGTTAAGAACTCCTAACTTAGATGAATAAAATAAAAAACAGGTAATTAGCGTAATCACATGCTGCTAAAAAGGAAGAACATAATAACATTATAAAACAACCTAGAGTTAATGATTCCTAAATCACATCTATATACTCGTATACATGTCATTTCAACTAAGATTATCTCTTCTTTACACAAATTTTAATAGGAATAATAGCATCATTCACAATGGCATAGGTTTAAATTCTTCATGTATCATTTCACATCATATACGCCGTATAGATGGATATTCATATTATCACGGCAGATGAACAAGAAAAGTCTCACTGTTAAGAATTTTATTCTATTGGTAAAAGATAAAAAGATCACTTTTGAAGTTTCTTAGAATTGAAAATCAACACAATGACATATTACTATTAGCTGCTAACTTTACAAAGCCTAGATATAACCATGGGCTAGAGTTACTCTGTATATAATCTATTTTGTTAATCTTCAAAACTGAGAAACTAGTTACCTTTGCAAATCGAACAGCAAACAGTTTCTTGTATTTCAAATCCATAAGTAGACTGCTCATGAACAACTGATGATACACGCTTCTAGCACCTTTTACAAAAAGAGCAGATGTTGCGATGACATTATCAAACAAGCCTAAATTACATTTCCGACAGTCTTTATATGATCAACTGTATTTTAAGTCTTCAGAGCAAAACTCTACATGTGCTCCTTAGTATAAAATATTTGTAAGCTGCTTCTTAAAAAAAAATCAGTTTTTCTAAATAGTTTTCTAACAAAATATAAAGGCTATTTAATTTGGGCCATGAACCCCAAAATCTGTTTGTTTTTTTTAAAGGCTAAGACTGCATGCGCTAATTCTAAAAACCATAAATACATTAAATACCTGCCCAAAGGAAAAAAACTTTAATATCCCAATGACCTATGTAGGTTCCTCTATACCTCAAAAGTAATTAAGAGATTCACCTTTCCACAATTTGGAATCGTTAAGCATCAATCTATCCACAAGAGAAGAGTTTTCACCATCTGGTCCTTCTTGTAAACCAACTTGACATAAAATTCGACGAAGGCCATCTTAAAACAGGAAGAAAAGTAGTCATGAAAATAGAAACTTCAAATAGTAAAATGACATTTTAGTAGAAATGTTCATATGGATCTATGATTGTACATGTTTTATTAAAGGTCAAATTTATTCAGAAAAAGTAAACATTTAAAATAAGTATTTTACTAACATTTTCACAAAAAAGGAGAAAAATTCCAAACCTTGCATTATTTCAGAACATCAAAATAAATGTCTATCAGAAAGGCAGTGACCTCTTATGCTGTAAAGAATTTGAAGAGCTAAGTTTCTAAAAACCACTGAAATGAACATTATTCTTCGGGCACCGATGCTAATTAAATCATATTATAGTAAAACTGTTATATATCCCATGACAGCTGAAAGGTATGTATAAAATTGTGCTACCATTTAAAAGAATGCATGAGCTCTGAGATATAATATATAGCAGCACTTTGTAGTAATGCTATGCAAAATGTTCTTCATTTATTTAACAAAAATTCACTGTGTACCTATCTATGTGTACCTACTATGTGAGGGGCCCTGGAAGACAAATTCCTACATCCTCTAAATGCTCAACTTAAAAAACATAAAAAGGTCTTCGAATATTAATACAAGCATTAAAACCAAAACTTTAATACCATTTTGTTTCATAATTAATAATTAAAAATCATTGTTTTTAGTCTTCTACAAGCATGCAAAACAACCAGATAAAAAAAAATAGAGTAATTTTACTGTAGCACAACACTTGACATACAGGCATCCAATGGAAAACACCGAAACTTAAAAAATGAGGATAAGAAAAGTAATTGGAAAGGCATTTATAAGGCAAGCAAACACATTCTCCTAAATTTCCATACCTCCATATTTTTACTTGTCAGTTCAGTGTGGCAATGCTCTTTCTAATAGCCATTCAATACACGTTTCAGAAATTTTCTTTATAGTAAACATCAGAATGTCATTTATCCAAACCACCTCTCTTGCCTGAAGAACAGTATGACGTATGGCTTTGATCTATGCCTATTTTACTCTTTAGTGTTATACACCAAACCTGTATTTTTGGCATTGGACATGAGGGTTCTTAATTCTGTTACCATTACATAAAACAGATTATCTGATTTGTAGATTGTGCAAAAACTAAAACCAAAATTAGTAACTTCCAATTTCCAAATTTTCAGAGTTGCAAATTATTGGGAACCAAACGTTGTAGGAGTCAAAACAAAGATAACATTAGTTTTTCATCCTTTAAACTGCTAACCATTTAGGCTTTATTTACAGTAGCATTTGCCGGCCTGTTAAGTGAAACAGAGTCCACAGGAGGCTGTGAAAAAAATGGTTCTTTAATCAAGTCTGGGAGATTTAGATTTTATAAGCATATTAAAGTCACTTATAATTGTTAAAACCCAGTGTTTCCTGCATTTATTGGAACACAAAATTGTATGCATATAGAAAAATCCTGTGGTCAAAATTTGGGAAACAGGTTTTTCTGCAAAGATATTCTGAGAAGGTATTTTAAAATGTGACATTAAAGCAAGAAATGATTCCACTTGATATTTTTTCCAAAACAGTTTTACAAGGACATATGAGCACATTTTTAAGTCAATTAGCACAAGCTTTTATGAACTTACCTGAATATCCAATAATACTTCCCAGCCAAGACAAAATTTTCAAACCAAAATTCTGATGTGCGACAATTGATGAATGCATAACTTGAACTTTGAGTGGCTTTGTCTGTCTACTGGTATTTCTCTTAAAAAGAAATGGCAGGATGAAAAAACAAACTTAAAAAGGCTATTTTATAAAAAAAAGTTAGTATTTTCATTTCATATAACTACAAACTGTTATTATTTTTCCTTTGTTTATAACAGCCGTTCTAATGGGTATTAAGTGGTATCTCATTGTGGTTTTTCTTTGCCTTTCCCTAATGACTAGTAATGTTGAGCATGTTTTTATGTGCTTATTGGCAATTTGTGTATCTTCTTTAGAGAAATGTCTATTTAAGTCTATCAAAACTTATTTAACATGTTGTCCCCCTTTCATTTTTTGTTTGGATCATCTTTCTACCCTTCCCCCATTTATCCTATTTCCATAACCCACATTAACACAGTTAATAACTCTGCATATTTTCTCCATCTATATATTATTTATGTATACATTAATAAAGATTTTCGATTTACAAAAATGGGATACTATACATACTCTTGTGCATCTTTGCGTTAACCGATTTTTTTGGTTAATGACTTGTAATATTCTGTGGTGTGGATTTATTCAAACATCCTCTAGAGAAGGGCATTCATATTCAATTTGTTTTCAGTCTCCTGTGACTACAAAAAAAGCAGTACTAAACATCTTTGTACACACACTTACTGGTGCTTATTTCTATGGGATAAATAAATTACTAGGAGAGGTGAAACTTTAATAGATGTTACTACACTGTTTTCTAAAAATGCTGTAGCAATTTATTTTTATACAAGCACTCTACCCTCTGAATCTCTGCCAGCAAGGTATTTGATCTCCATTTGATGGATATGAAATCCTGTCATTTTACTGACTACTAGTGAGTTTGAGTCTAATTTCATATATATTGACCACCCACATTTTCTGTTGTAATTACTTTTTCATATATTATGACCATTTTTCTATTTTGTTATTTGTTCCCTACTTGATAATTTATGAGTGCTGTTTATCATAAACATTAAATGTCTACCCTATGTGTCAGAAATAATTTTCTAATTCCTCGGAGTCTAGCCTTGGTTAAGAAGCTCTCCCACTCCCTTAGAATATACCTGTGGTTTTCTAGATTTTCCTCATACTAGTATCTATTTTGGGACTTTCTATTCTATAATATGAATGTATCTATGCAAACACCACCAGAGATTACACTTTTTAAAAAAAGGAAAAACTGAAACAATACTCCTGAACGTTTAAGAATTTAAAAGGAAACAGCAATGAAAAAAAAATACCCTTTTCTTTACCATTGTAAACATTTCATTCCAATTGCTTTATCACTTGCCCATTATCTTTCTCTACAGATACACACACACACACACACACACACACACACACACACACACA